GAGGAAGGGGGGGGGGGGGCGGGGTCACCAATACTTGATTCCGTCTATTGTGAGGGGGGTCACCTCTGACTCCAGCTGAATGTTTCATGATTTGAATAAACTCATCAAGCGATTAACGCCAGTCAAACAGAACAAACTCCGAAACCGCAAAGTCTTTCAACTTCACTTTGCACCCGCCGAATTAACAAACTGACCCTTTGCTTTTCATCGTCATGGCGACAGGAACCACGACGACGATGAGATGAACGGATGTTTCCTTTGCCGTCACCGGAGAGATCAATGGACTACTTTCGAGTCCTTGACTCGCAACTTCAAAGGTTTATGACTATTATTATTATTATTACACACACACACACACACACAAAAAGCCAAACCCCGACAAACTTTTAGTCGTCATGGAATCCGAACAAACAAACAGGACCAAAGACCGGACAACCGGGGATTTAAGGCCTGCTGACCGGAAGAAAAGGCGGACCGAGCGGGACCGGCAACCCGATGACCGGGGACGCCGCACTCGGCTTCAACTTGGAAAAACTCGACGGACGACCTTGAGATCCTTCGCTGGCGACTTTTCACAAACTCGAAGACTTCTCGGAGAATGAAAGTGCGGATGACTGCGACACAAGACTGGATTGGAACTTGGGGATGACGGGCCTGTGTGATCCCATCAAGTGTTTTGAGGCACCTGTCACCCCGACGACGATGAGGTAAAGCTAGAAATTCTTAAAAAAAAAATAAAATAAAAAAATCAGGCGTCTCAATTCAGCATTTTCAAATGATGGTGATGACCAAGGATGCCACGGCACCGGACTCGGGCGAAGAAACGGAACTCCTTCCCCACACGACGGACGACGAGCAACCTCTCCACTTGCCGTCGACGTGAAGCAAACGCACGTCGACTTGCTGAAATAGCGCCAAAGCACATTTCCTGCGTTTGGCTTTCCTTTTCGGGAATAACATCGCGCTGGCACGATGTCGGCGGCGCGGTCGTCGCGCGTTTAGCGAGTCGGTTCCCCCGCGGCAGACCGACTCCTTCCCGCGTGGAATTTGTATCTTCTCCCCGTGCCCTGCGTGGCTTTTCTCCGGGTGTGCCTCGTGACGGGCTCGCAACTCGTTCGCGGTGTACCCCCCACCCACCCCCCACTCCCACTCATCCTGGCCAAAGACGGTCGGGATGGGCTGCGGCGCGCCCGCAACCCCCCCGAGGAGAAAGCGCTTGACAGCATGGAAGGAAAGCGCGACGCCTTCCAATAAAGGCCCGCGAGTCAAATTTGTGTTGCCGTGTCAAAATGCCAGCATGTGTCAATGTGTTGAAATGCGATCATTACATTGACACCAGCAGGGGGGGCGCCCCTTCTCTTTTCTCCCCCCTCCCCCCAATTTGATTTCTGACAGCAACACGCCCCCCCCCCCACTTCCCTCTTGTAATCATCAGCCACTCACTCCCACCTCCTGCCTCGCCACCATCTGCTTTCGCCGTCGTCCTCTAATTTGCTCAATTAAGGAGCTCCTCCGTACTCCATTTGCGCGCCGTTAACGAGGCGCCCGCGCGGGCGCTGTGATCATCGTGCGGCAGACGAGGAGGAGGAGGAGGAGACGGATGAGACGGACGAGACGGACGAGATACGTGCGGACGTCTTGTCAAGATGGGACGCGACTCGCTTTCCGTCGCGGATCGTCGTCCGGCGTGTTCATAAAAGCTGTCATCTGCAGTTTTCCTCAAAATGAAAATGCATCACCTGCTTCCTCAAATTGATGTCCCCCACCACCCCCACGTCTTTTTTTTTTTTTTTTTTGAAATCTCAAATCATAGTGAGGTGGAAATAAAACAAGGCCGGGGGGGGGTAAACGGGAAATAAAGCAAGCGTAAAGCAGGAGCAAAAGAGGGGGCGGAGCAAAGGTCAAGTGCAAGCGGAAAAAAAGAAAGCCGCAGTCAAAGTGACAAATGAGGAAGTCGAGCGGAAGCAACGAAGACGGACAACGGAAGCAAAGCGGAAGAGAGGAAGGAAAAGAGGAAGCGCAAGTGCGGGCAAGCGACGAGGAGACCGAGCGGAAAGAAAAAGGAAACAAGCCGGTCAGGCCAAAGTCGAGCAAAAGCGAAGCGCCAGTCGAGAGTCACGTCATGTGCAAGTCGAATCCAAAGGCAACCGGGAGGAAAGAGAAGGCACGCGGAAGGAAGGAAGGAAGGAAGGAAAGCCGACGTAAGTCGAGAAGGAGATCAGCGCAAAGTAACGAAGGCGTTGCCGTGGAAGCGGAGAGCCAAGTCGAGAGGACGTCAAGCGGTCGGCGGAGCGCAAGAACAATTTAGGTGACGCGAAAGTGGAAGTCGAAGGAAGGAGAAGAAAGCAAGAAGGAGTCAGGAGGACCCACTTTGGAGTCCCCATCCAGGTGGCGGCCGGCAGGTCGGTGTGGCAGCGCCTTCCTCTAATGAAGCGCCTTCCAGCTTCCCGCACGCTCGCTCGCTAGCTCGTCGTCAGCGACGTCGATGAAGCGCTTCATTATCGTCATCGCACTCGCACAAAATGGCCGCCGTCTCTGTGTAAATATGACGGACGGCAGGAGGCCCGCCACCCGCCTCCGAGCGTGACCGCACGGCGGCGGGGCTCATTAGCTCCACCCCCAAAGCGCAGCGGCGCTCCTCCACGGCCGGGCCGCTTTGCGCCACTAATGCGCCGCCGGGTGCCGGGCCTCGTGTCCGGGGGCCTATCGACCGGCGCGGCGCGTTTGACGTCGCGCCGGTGAAAATATTTGGGACGCGGCGCGGGAAGACGAAGCTGCGGCGTGGGGGCGCGCGCGCGGCGGAAACACGAGCGGGCGAGAAAACGCCCTCCCCGATGAGCGCCTCGAAGGAGGCGCATCAGGCACGTTTTTTTTTTCTTTTCCTTCGCAATTCAAGAAGAAGAAAAGAACGAGAAAAAGGAAGTCAAGCCAGAGTCAAAAAAGCGAGTCGAGGTCGTAAAGGGGCGCGAGGAGGAAGGCGAGCGGGCGGAAAGCGCGGCGGAAGGGGAACAACCGTAAAAGCAGCGAACGGGCGAGTCGCGGGAGGAAAAAAAAGCAGAACGAAGGCGGACGCCAGGGAGGAGAAAAAGGAGGAGCCTGGTCTCCAAGGCGACTCACGTCAAAGACTTTGTCGATGCAGAGTTCGTCGTCGAGGCGCTCGCGCAGGACGTCCTGGTTCTGCCGCACGAAGCCCACGTAGGCGTCGGCCGGGTCCGAGCCGGATTTCTGGAAAGTGTCGAAAGCAATTGCTCGTTATCTACACCCGCAGCGACGACTGTTGCAAAGATTCGTCTTCCGCCATGTTTTGGGGGGCATGGGGGGGATTAACTTTTTTTTTTTTGGTCTCTAATCATGTGAATCACAAGGGAACATGAAAAAAAAAAATGTCCCGCGGGAGCTTGTAAAAGCTCTGAAATCAGCTTATTTATGCTCGACATTTACGCTTCAAACCAAAATGGCGGAATGATTGACGTGTCCACCAAATCTGATGTCCGTCCACGAAACTCCGGGTGGGAATCTTTTTTTTTTTTCTCTCTTTCGTACCTAATCGAGTGAGTGAGTGTCATTTACAAATCATGAGGACAGACCAAAGACTTGATGCTTTTGTGTGTGTGTGTGTGCTGCATGCTGACACGCACGCACGCACGCACGCACGCACTGGTGATGTCCTCATTCACACTCTTGTTGTCAGGGGAGATTACAAGTCTAATGCTTTTTGTAATCGCTTTGACATCTTTCACAGTCTGCGTTGCCCTCGGGGGGTGTCGGACGAGGTGAGGAGGGGTGG